TGATCTGTGTCCGTAATCGCTGCAGCGGTAGCGGGAATGTCCCGTCGTTTTCGTGCTCGTGCAAGGAGTGTATTTTCATGAACGTTGTTTGTGACGTTAGAGATGCGAACAACATTGTATTGCGAGCGATGCTCGTGCAAACGAACTACAAACAAACAATGCCATAGTTCTTGATTGTGGGTTCCGATACGTGTGTTGTTGTTTATGTGGTGCGCTCATTTGTGTGTGTGTGTGTGTGTGCCAAAATAGTTGGTGGACGTCTCGTAGGCCTCTCTTTTTGCGTATTTATTATTCTCTTATGTATGGTATTTGTTGGGCCCTGTTTGGAGGTGGTGTTTGGTTTCTTCGTCGGTGTCGTGTTCGTGGATCAACCGCGTATTTGGAGAGGGTGTTGTTTCTTCAAGTACTTTGTTTGAAAAGTGGGGGAAGAGGTGTTGCTCGTTATCGGCGTCTGTAAATGTTTCTCTGGTCGAACTTTGTGGGGTTTTTCAGTCGTTTCCCCCAGGGTTGCCCTCGTGGTGGGGGTTCGTCATTTCTGTCGGTGTTTGGTGTTTTATTTCTGTCGTGGTTTAATGTGGGAATTGCGCGAGTTCAGTCACCAGAGGGTTCTTTTGCGGCCAGGTGTGTGGTCGGAGATATGGTGTTTCCTTGGGGCAGAGGACATCTGTGTTTGGTGTGTGTTGCCGTCCCCCTGGTTCTCAGGGATTCTTGTTTTGGGTGTGTGTGATTTGTTTTGGCACGTTTACTTCACTTATTTGTTGGCTTTTATGGCGTGCAGGTGAACTTTTCGCCAGGTCTTGTACCCCGGGGTCACGTGTTTATTCCGAATACTGTTGATGATGTGCATTTTTCTTTTTCCTCTCGCGAGTGTGTTTTCACATCCCATGCAATGGTGATTGTCCACGGGTTTCGGCATTATGAAAGTGATGTGCGATTTTGGGTGGTGCCGCGCGAATTTGGCCTGCGGTTGCTCACCTAATGGTTCCTGTGATCTCGTGGTGTTTGGAGGTTCTATTTCCGACTGGGTCACTCGTGTATTTTTGATATGCGCCACGGATCCAATACACACAAAGAGGAGTGTGTGGTGAGCGTGTGCGCACAGCAGACACTCATCATTGTGATGTGTTCATGGGCTAATGGGGATGGTGACAGTCGTTCGAGCAGTTCTTTGCAGCGAGGGGTGCCGATGTTGCGTGCGCCCATGTTGAAACCACAGGGAATTTGACGTGTGGATGTTGTGATGGCTGATGGGTTGCAGTGTTACATTTGACGTTCATGTTGGGAGTGCTCTTTGGGTACTGTGCCATGAGATGGTGTCCTGCGTTTGCTGGTATCTCCTCAGTGGTCTTGTAACGGTTTTTTGGGGGAAAGCCACCCATTCGAGCAATGAGGTTGCGCTATCGGTGAAAGATAGTCAGAGGCACGTTGTATATTATTGCCGAGTGGGATAATTGGGATCTGCAGGTAAATTCCCATGGTGATGTTTTTTTTTATTGTTTTTGTGGTTTTTTTTTTCGTAATTGGGGGTGTTGTTTTGACATCCGTACGGAACCCAGGGTGTATTTATTTTTTTTGTGTAGTGGTAAGATTAATTGCCTGCGTCCCGTTGCTTTGTTTTGTGTGAGTGGTTTGTCGGTCCTTCATTGGATTGTTATGATGTCACTCTCTCTCTTTCTCTTCATGTGTTGTTGTTGTTTCTCAGGATGTTAAATGTGCGTCTTTTTTCTTCCTCTTTCTCCTTTTCCTTGTTACCACAGATCCAAGCAACCCACAGTGATAATCATGACAACGATGTTCGTCCAACTGCGCCGTGTGGTGTACCTGTTGGTACTTCTGCAGTGCTGCGTGTGTGTGGCGAGTGCTAGTGGCAAGCAGGAGGTTTTCACCGTGAAGTCTACTAAAGATGCGGCAGAGGTTGAATGGTTTAGGAAGACAGTAGACGAGGTGTATAAGCACATTGTGCACACGAATGGTTGTCTGTCTGTGTTAAAGGATAAAAGGCAATTAACCACGAACAATACCGCGCGTGCCAGGGCCGTTGTAAAGAATGTCACTGATCTTGTTGTGGCGTTCATGGAATTAAATGCAAAGGAAGAAGGGCGGGGGCAGATTGGTGCGTGGATCGAGGAAAGAAAGGATGAGATACAACAACACATTAATGATTTGGAGGTTGTGATGTCATCACTCTTAGACATGTCTCTATTGAGTGATAATTGCAGGAAACAATCCATGGTGTCTGATGATGATATGAATAGACTAGACGACGCTCGAAAGCGCTTTTTGAAAGTGCCAAGAAAAGAAACGACGGAGATAGTGGGACTCAGACTGGGCAGCAGAATAGTAAGCGAAAAATTATTTGACCTCTTAAAAGACCTCAAGTCCCCAGAGGGTGGACTCCTACCACTTAGGGATGCGAGAGAATCCGTGAATGACGCGAAAAGAGCAATGCAGGCCCTCTTGGATACTTTCAAAGATGTCAAGACGTTCAAGGTTCCTTCAGTAGAAGAAATGGGTGAGGGATTTTTGAGAAAGGCAGAGGGGAGAAACGTCACCGTTATTAAAGAACTGGGGGAAGCAAAGGAAAAGGCAAAAAGAGAAATCCAGCGTCTTTTACGGGAGAGGCGTGGTGAAGAAAAAAACGAGAAAGAAGTTATGGAACAAGATGGGAGTGGAGTCGTAGAGCAGCCGTCAACGGGGATAAAAGAGACGCAAGAGGTTGATACAAATGGGCAGAGTGTACAGGAAAAAGAAGAAAAACAGGTGGATAGTGAAAGTGCCGGAAAGGAAGAAGTGGTAGGTGGAACGGCCATGGAGGAGCAGAAAGAAGAGATCCGGAAGGAGGACGCACCCCAGCAGGGTGTGAAGATCAAGGAAGAGGCCAACGTTACTGATATAGGAGCGGAGAATGTCATTAAAGCAATACGAGAGAGTGACAGCAGCAGCAATCCTGCATTGGTGCACGCTTCCATGCTGCTTCTGTTGTGCGTGCTGGGGTGCAGTCTCGTTTGCTGATCGGTGTTCCCATGACACAGCTGCGCAATTAACCTTTATTTGAGTGGACATGGATACATTGTAAGGGCATTGTTTTTTTTTATTGAATTTTAATGATTTTTTTTCCCAGCACGATAAATCTCTTGTTTGCATCTTTTGCTAAACGAATCTATTGGACTCCCTGTGGTATTCAACACATGACAAACCATCATTTTGTGGGGGGAGTGTCCTCTTTGTTTATTCGCATTATTATCTGGACTCTGTGTTGCCGCCGTTTACTGTGTCCCTCTGGTGATGTGTGTGTGTTCCGTGATATTAATAACTATTGCTTTCACCCTTGGAAATGTTATACAATCCCGATGTGTTTTAATTGCTGTGACTGGAATGTGAAGAATGGCAGGAGGCTCAAGACACACAAACACGCACACTACCAACCGTACTTCTCTTTGTGTGTGTGTGGGCTGTCATCATGTGTGCATCATTCCCACTGCTCGCCCTGTACGAAAGGCACACACACACACACCTACTGTTGGGAATTGTGTTCTTGCTCCTGAACATATTCACATGGTGATCACGACCTTATTCGGTTTGTGCTTGTTTTCATTATATTGTTTTTCTCTTGTGTGTGTGTTTCATTATAATTTCATTTCACATCATGTGCAGCTGTGTGTTTCTCTTTTGCGTTTCCGATACACCTTGTGTATCTTGTGTGTTCATTTTTATGGAATGATTCTTTTTTCATTATATACAAACTGCTGCACGGACATCAAGAAAAAAGATATGGGCACAGCACGTTCAGTACACAATGATTTTTCATTGTTAACCTTGGGGTGGATTGGACTGTCTCCATGCATCGCAGCCACAGTAAGTAATGAATTTCTTTTTATGTTTTTACATCTTTGCTCTATTATTGTGTCTGCCTCACGCAGTCACTCTTTTTTTTTGCATTTTTATTTTGGTATAAAGATTGGTGGGTTGTAGGTGTTTGAGTGTGACCCTCTGTTGTGCGTTTGGGTTGCTACTCACACCGCCCACGTAATGAAAACACATTTCTTTGTTCTCACCTTCTCTCTCGGTGTTGTCACTCACACAGCATTGCCACGAACATATTTGTGCCCTTGTGGTGTGTGTGTGGTTTGTTGTTTGTTTGAGTGACTCCACCCTGCGGGGAGGTGAACTGGGACTGTTCCGCTTTGGCTTTACGCAATGGGCTTGTTTTTTTCTTTTTTGGGGTTGAGTTGATGTGCTGGTGTGGGTGAATGTTTTTCTCTGATGAGAGTGGCACCTGTGATTATTGTATTGTGAGTGCTTTGTGTGCTGTTGGTATCCTGTTGTTGTTCTTTTCCTGTGTTTTTCTTTTCCTCTTTGTAGGTGTGTGACTTTGTGTACATTTTGGTGAATGCGGCAATGCCTCTCTGACATGAGCATGTGAGACTGTCATTGTGAGTGGGAAGGACACCGTTGTGTAGCTGGACCACTCCACTGCGGCGTCTGTGGGGTTTGTGTGAGCGGCATGCTTCGCTTCGGCGGGGCTCGAGGAGGTGCGCTTCACGTCCCGGGGCGCTGAACCTTGAGGCCTGAAATATCATGCTCAGGGACTTTGAACTTGAGAGAAAAAGAAGAGTGAGGATGAGGAAAAAAAAAAAGGATGAAACCCGGCAACCAGTCTACGTGCGCAATGCTCGAGGCTCGTTGTCGGGTTTTGCCCTTTTCTTTTTTTTTATCCCACACCACAAGAAGGGAGAGGAGAAAACACAACCCTCCCAACAACCCAAGGCGGGCGGCCAACTTGTCAGCGTCTTGTGCGCAACAAGAAGAAGAGGGGTGGGGTGGCTCCCGGGGGTGTTTCACTTGTAAAATGAGTGGGGTTGGGAATAGTGGAAAACTCTTGCTTTCCCTACTTCAACGCTGGGTAAGATGGGTTTGAAAGGTATTCCGCAAAGATGACCCTTCCCCGTTCCCCTCGTGACATGGTGTGTCCATCCAACGGCACCTTTTACTCGGTGGCACGCGGCGCCATGAACAAAAAGAACAAAGGGAAGGATTCACCACACCCTCATGATAAAGGCAAATTCCGCTATGATGGTGTTGAGGCGTTCCGCTACCGCCATGTGTGGTGTGAAAAGGGAATCCATGGGAAATGCAGAAAAGGAAAACGGTGAAATCTAAACAGAACATTTCGCCCCATAGGTATTTTGGTTTGTTGGAACCCCACCGCCTGCCCCACCATAACAATGTGTGAAGTATGTTTGGCTTTTCCCTGGGAGATGGAAGTGGATAAGCTGGGCGCCGCGATGGGACAGCCCTCATTGCCAAAGGCGAGCCGTGGTTCACTTCAGAGGTCCACGGCACCCACCCCAAGATGTTGGCAAAAAAAAAGTTGAGGAGGGTACGGCGCCCCGGGGTTCCAGCACCACCACCGATCGCCGTACCAACGAGGCCTGTGGCCGCTTAACTTCACAAATCGGACGGGATACGGTGCATTCGGCCAAGTACGGTCGTACCCGAAACACCCGCAAAAGAACATATTATGCTCCCGGGGGGGTCCCCGGGGCGCCCTTCCCAGCCCCGCCCCCGGGGGTGAATTTTCAGTTTTGCGAGTGCCGTGCGTTTCCCGCCTCCGTGCTCTACTGGGCCTCGTTACGGCGGTATTGGGGCACATTTTCGCACACAAGCTAACCCTTGTAGGTGTTGGGTTGTTCCGGTGTTTTGGGTTGTGCCGGCCTGGTGGCGTCGCCGCCGCCGTCTGTCACAACTTTGGCCGGCTGGTGGCGCCGGGGTGGGGTGG